GCACAAAATAAATCAAATAATAAGCATTATTCATATCCCACACGGAGCATGAATTAATGCTGAGATTAGTCTTCAACTATAGGATTTCAACAGTGTGTTATGTTCTTAATATTTGTTATTTACTATCCGAATACAGATTTATTCCTGCAAGTAATCTCACAAAGCACTAACAGCAGTGAAATCATTCGGTGGAGATGGACTTGGTGGTTCCGGTGGAACACTCGACGGCGGCCATCCATCGTTGAAATCTGCCATCGAATTATGAGCCGAGATTGAGATCGACTTTTGGCGACGCTCCATTCCGATCGTACCTGGGCCATTACCTGGAAATTTAATCACAATCAAAAAACATAGTGCTTAGAAGAATGACAACTATAATAGCACTAATGACAACAAACATAACACGAAGATAATTCGTACAATAAGTAGAAAACGCTGAAGTGAGTGTATTGCCAATGGATGGTGTTGTTGTTGCAGATGAATTCGTGTGTGTCGATGTGATTTGCGTCAGCGCACACGAATCTGATGGGGCATCGCGAAGCATTGTCAGTTGTTTCAGTGATGAATTCACATCTGTTGAACGTAAACTCGCCAATAAATTCTCATCCTTCACTATTTCGGCCACCAAACGAGCTGAAATTCGTTCGATACTGAACATCAAATTGGCCTATATTCATTCAAATTTACTTAAGCGTTCAACTACACATCGGAACATTATCCCACTATAAGTCATGCTACGTTACCAATNAAAAACAATCGATTCCAAATGAGTTGATGATATACTTACGAACAAAGAGAACAACATTCGCAAACCAATAAAAATGCAATACAAAACGAACACGAAACACTCCCAACAATCGAATTCAACTGTTTCGCGAACTGTGCATGTTGCAAACGCGAGAATGTCAATTCGACGGTCGTACTCAAATCAGGTATGCTGTGCGCTAATGATGTCAGTTGCTGGCATACTTTCTTACGACTGGCCAATATTTCAAATGCTGAACCCTTGGACAGTAAACGTTCGGTGAATCTGAATCATTAAAAAAACTTTTGCCTGACTTTAATGAATTCTTTCATAATACATTCCAAATCAATTCTTCCATTATTTCCTGGATAGCTTCAACTTCTTCAGTTTAAATCTTCACCAAATATTCGACGTCCATCCGAATCGGTGTGAAATCGCAAAACAAGAATGAATAATAAGTAATAATAGTAATATTCATGAAACTAACGCTAAAGCGTCGGCAATTTTGACAGTGGTAACAGAGATGCGATGCGAAAGAGTATTGAGCTGAGAGTCTTGCTCATCACGAACTTTATCCAGTTCATTCAAGAGCTTCTGTTTCGACTCTTTCAAGATCAGTTCATATTCCGAGAATGCGTCTTCAATTTGATTGTGAATCGCTTCATATTGATCAGCCAGTAGACGCTGCCGTTCTGGTATACAACCACACGCTTTCTCTGTTGATTTTGCCTGAAAAGAATACCACACCATCACGGATGATTGAAACTTTTCAAATTGATACATCTTACCAGATACCATGAAAATATTTTCAAAACGCCTAATTCATTGATTTTCAAAGAAGACTGCACTATAAACGTCTTTTTTCAGCTTTGTATCATCACCATAATCAAGTTTTGTACCTTTGCATTGGCATTTGCAGCAATTTCATTCAATTCGATTTTGATGAGTTGTGAGACACGATCATCAACTGGAACAATATTATGATGTCTTGTATCCGCATGATCAGACTGACATTGGATACACACCAACGTTTCGCATGACGTACACAGTGCTGTATATGGGATTGTGGGATGTTGTATACACATCACTGGTTCATGTGGCAATTCGAGATCCTTTTCTGATATCTCAGAATACGTCAACACCTTAAGTTAGTTCATCCTATTATCAATCCATCAACATCGAATTATTATTNGTAATAAAAAACGAAAATGAAGCAATAACAAACGAAACCAACATCATGTCCATCGAAAAGTTTCATATCTCGGTGTGCTTGAACGCAGTTCTTACAAAGATCCGAGGCACATTGTTTACACAAAGCAATCGCTGGCTGTTCACTTTTGCACGCTTTACACGAACGTTGACCAGCATTCTTATTCAAATTCTCTGTTTCATTTATGCGTATAAAATCCAACACCAAATGATTCACAAAACGTACATCATTGCCCACATGACTTTCCTTCAATTTTTTATCATTATTATTACTAAACTGTACTTATTCGATAAATAGTCATACAAATAGATGCATATTGTCATCGTTTCTATAATCAACAGCTTTGAAACCTGCAGTGACTTTCGCGTTTAATTCACTGTCTAAAGCATGACAGAATAAAATGACTTATCGTGGTCACGACTGCTAGATGAGAATACAACACTTATTATTCGTATGAAGAAACAACCGTATCACATCGTATCACATCAAGTGATAACCTGATAACATATGGGGCATCTGATGACACCTGGTGGGGTGGGTCTCATCTGCAGAGCGTTCTGTTCCAACTCGAAATCAGTTGCTGCTGATGATGGAGTGGAGGTACGGTTATTAGATGTGCTTGATTTTGCTATCGTTTCATTTTCGCGACGTCCATCCAACTGTGCTATTATGCAGTCTTCACACATCGAATGCAGACAATCTAATACACGCGGCTGAAAGTTTTAACAATGATGCATTTAGTAACGGTANGAAACGAACCTTTCTGAACTGATGTCCACAATATGGACATAAAACATCGTCATCATTTGGAAGTGGTTCAGTATTTAAGAGAGGACTTGATGCACAAGAATGTGAATTTGTCGTATCCATACTGCCTTTATCATCTTTCACTGATGGTGGACTCTCGATCTGGAATGGAATGATAATTATTGATTGTAAAATTACTTCAATTCATCGGTTCCAATCATCTTAATTAGTTCTTGATGACCTTATCAAAGGCAGCAAATGCAGAATGAAAAAGTGAGAGACGTTCAATGCATTTACGAAAGGACTGAAAAAACATGACATTGAAAATTCCTCATCAAAGTTGGAAAATTTCGCTGAAACCGCTCCCTCAGCGGAAAAATAACCGTTCAAAAAACCACGATGAAAGATCGTCAGAGTACTGGACTTGGAAGAGTTCCTTGTGAAGAAATTAATGAGCGCACAATTCTAGAACACAGTAATAATGGGATACCTTAGTATCATCTTGCGTTGTGAATAAAATTCGTGGTCTATCAAGTTTCGGTGAACATCCATCACCCCCACCATCCTCCATTGTGACTTATAGAATCGAGTTTATTCGTGTGGGTCGTTTGTGTATGCTCAATGATCTAAGATGATGACGGTAATGATGACTAATTTTAAAAAACGTTTATTTGAACACCTCCACTTCTAAAAATGAATAACGTTTAGTAACGAGAACACATTTCTTCGCATCTCGGATCACAGTTCGCTATTCAACATCGTAACAGCTGGCAACATCGAAGGATCACACACGAAAGTCGCGTGACCAATAACACAACTAATGTCATTTAAACAATTACCAACAAAAATTTCGAGCTCAATCAATTACAAGTATGAGCACAGTTCATCGACGAGCGGATAAAAGATGAGACTTTTTGAAATTAGTAAGAATTCCGTCGACAATACGACAAAAGAACGCGATACCGGGGGCGGAAATTACCGCCGTTCAAAAAAAAACCGAGCAATTCTTGTTGAACGCGAGGCGTGTTCGTAAGGCGTGTCCCAAACCACCAGCAGCACGAGGACAGAGAATGAGAGAACGGCGCACATCAACGGCACGCAGCAGACATGATTTGTGCCATTGGATCGAAGTGGAATAATTGGATTATTTGAAGTTGTTCGAAGCAGTTAGTGACATCGATTATGATTAAATGTGAGCGGTATTGATGACTCTATCGGAATCACCTTTGGTCGAACAATTTTCGGTAATTTTCGCAAAAATCATAATGCTGAAGTGAGACCATCAAAGGGCAATGCTCATGAAATTTAGTGGTAGACAACGATGTATGAGCAGATTGCGGTGTTGGTGAATGATTGATGAAGGCACACGCTTTGAAGAGCATTAAAGACTGCTAGAATCAGATGGGTACAACTTATCAAATGGAAACATTCTCTCATCGGCGAATTGCCGCATTCGAAAGACGACCATCATTTCAGGTTTTATCGAGTGATCACTGCAAAGGACATTTTAAAAAGGGACACTTGATGGTTCCGAGTGTTTGACGGATCGAGGAACAGAATCGATGTTAGGTTCTGTGTTCGCTGCAGATGACCTCATGTAATATGTTGTCAAAATTACCAAATGAGTAAGCGGTTGGCACATAACGATACTGATTTCAAATGATTCTGTCAATTGCTAGTTGGATATCAAGAACAGTGAGAGGGCAGCTTAAAAAATTTGCAGTGACATCTCTTAAGTCAGTTTCATAAAGAGTCAGAAGCGTATCTTCCGGGATCTGGTGTGATTTATGATTGAGAGACCTTGACAGCACTTGCTGTGTTCATTCACCTTTAGGTTTGCAACATTCTCTTGTTCTTTAACGTTATCGTGTTCGTATGTGTGCTGTCGCCGTTTCAGATGAAAGTACAAATATCCGTTCTCAACGAAAAATGCCTTTCGGGCATTTCAATTCGCTCAGTTGGTTGATATCACTGC